TCGAACATTCCACCTTTTGTGCAAACGAAAACGGTGGCCAAAATTAGGACCAAAGCACAACAGGTGTGAACGAAATTAGGTAAATCTAATGACTGAGCCCATAAACGAATCAGGAGCACAACAGATACATTGTCGATTGTGTATTATGCAAATCAAGCACATTGTCTACGCACGATATTCACATCAGACTGTGCTAAATAAAAATTACTGAATTATCAAGTTGTCTCCGTGAGAGTTCATACACATTATATCCTGCATAATTGCTACGAAAACAAGCCGAAGCTCAAGGCAGGAGGCAAAAAATCCATATTTTTTCTAAGCATAAAACAATCATCATACTACATTTTTTTGATCGATTTTAAAAATAATTTGTTGAACTTTGCCTAAAATGATACGATTCCATTATGGTGGTTTATTCTAGAAAAAAAAAAATAGAATAGGGAAAATAATAGGCCCACTACACAATATAGACCGTAAATATCTAACACTTCTATTCAGCAAAGAACCACGAGCACGAAATAGCAGGCCGAAATTGGCTAGATTGCTCAATTTTGCGTGAAAACCGTTCCGAAAAAAATAAGTCATATCAAGCACTAAAAGTAAGCCATGGAAGCCCTTAGAAATTCAATAGTAATAAATTGTTGATAAAATATATATAGGATATATCTAAAGAAAGAAAACTATTACAAATAATATCAACTTATAGAAAATCCCTTGGGCACATTTGAGCGCATATACATATACATAACAACAGTAGAGCAAAAGATACAGATACTTTATTTAACAAATCACAACAAATGTATTTAAACTATAAAATAATATATATATATATATAAAAGTTATCTAATCGTCACTATTTGCTTCTTAATCGAGAGGTATTTATTAGTTTATTCTGTTTTATAAGGTATTAGTCTAAAGCAGAGAACTTGTAACTTTAAGGTAGCGCGAGCTTTGTTTTCATTAAAGCCTTCCCAATTAGCAGAAGCTCTCTCGACTCTGCATTAATCAAATTTATTACGAGTCATGATAGGATTACCATCGGAGTGATAATTCTACCGCTATGGCCGACAGGCAGGTCTTATTCAGTTAGTGATAAATATATATAACATACCACTATATTATAACATGCATACTGAAATTATAGTGTAGCCGTTAGGCGCCTTATTTTAAAATGCCATCAGCCATAGTAACAAAGCAAAAATAACATTGCTTTCTAATAAAAATGGAAGGTAAGACGAAACTAGTGAGTCACTTTTTATTAAAGCATAGGCTACTAGCTGAGTTTGGTACATTATATTTTTGTACGTTTTGTAGATAAATTGCTTAGTTAATATTAAAAAAACCTATCGATTTTTTTTCTCTGCAAGTATCGATCGTTTAAATTTACTGTAAGCATTGCTGCCTTATATATGAGGCTATGCACGCGGAGTCCTCCGATGAGCAATGGCCGGTACAATGCGATCCTTAGCATTAACGTATTTGAAAATATATTTAATTTTAAATACATGTAAACAATGACCTCGTCCGGAGCTCTCGTTGATATCTTACACATTCATACTATTGTATATGTTAGAAGAAATAATAAGCCCTAGATCAACTATAATGTGATCTAAGAATTAGGATCAATAGATCAACAATCTACCATAGTTAATCCTTTCAGTCCTGACAACATTGGACCTCGGCTGCTGTGCCAACACAATTATTCGCTACCTTTCAATGGTAGCCTTTTGCACAAAATACGATCCTACCAAAATGGGCAACCGGTAGAACAAAGGTTCATTTTAAAAAATGCCTGTGATTGCACCCTAACTAAGAAAAATACTTTATTTCTACCAATCTACCACCTAAGCAATGGCAAATCAATTAAAATTTAAGTCAATTTGTATCTGCAGTGGCGAACTAATAAAGATCATCGTTCACGAATAAGGTCGTCGAGGGCGCCGATTTTTGCTCTGACAGATAGAATAATCGAACTTATTGCCACCGTTTATGGAAACTCCTGGCCCAATAACCTGCGTTTTTTTTGCCCCCTATATGTGACTCAAGTGTCTTAGAGTGTCTTGACTTGACACAGCTAAACTTATATGTTCATAGCAGATATTCCGAAAAATGTGGTTCCTTTATGTTTGATGAGCTCGAAAACGAATCTTAGCCAGGCGCTAATTAAAGCTTCCCCGATCTACTAGACTGACCCTAGTAATAGTTAGAGAACGCTGAGGCGCCCAAGAAGAAGCAGGCGGGTTATACACGAAGGGGTTACGCAAGCAGGATAAGGAATAATTTGGACGTTTGGAGAATTTGGTACGGTTTTTCATCTAGCAAAAACACCACTTAATTAAGTATTAACAGCTTGCAAGATGCTACATTTGACAGCAAAGCAGATCAGAGAAAGATTGTCGGCAAAGACGGAACCAGATCATGTTATACGAATATTACAGAACTGTGACAGGCGATGGTTTAGCGAGCATTGTAAATTTTATGGGTAACCCGTGCTAATGCTAAGTATAACAATTTTAGTAATTAACGGCGACGTTATCTTTTCTCTGTTAACGTTTTGCCTATCGGATGACGTAACATCGTACTAAAATATCGGCCATCTCTTTACAAATATGTGTGGAAACAGAGACGCTACGTTTACGAGTAGTTTAAGACTCAAACATTTAAATATTTGTTACTAAACAGATATAATAAGCCAATTGATATGGGGCCTCGGTCAGGAAACAGTTCCAAATTTAATTTGTATTCTTTTTTTTTTTTCGTCACCAATGATACCTAACTCATAATGGCTGTGTGCCTTTGGCTTGTACATGATTAGTATGTCCTCTTATTTAAAAAGATGCGCATGAGTCGTCCAGACGACGCTACCTACCCCTTTCTGCAAGTCTTGACAAAACATTCTAGCGTTATTTGTAGTGAACGCGTTGAATATTTACAGTGGTTAGAATATACGTAACTTATATTGAGTCAAATTAGGTAATTAAAAAAATAAAAACTTATGATAAAATCAGCAATACTTACGCTCAAGGTCCCGATTGATGTGTGCGCGTATGAATAGTAGATTCCGTCGTGAACTGGAAGTCAGGCCTTCAAAGCACATCTTCGTGTCTGCCTCGTGCTAATATGGCAATCAATCACAGTAGGCTATAGAAAGAACTTTTTGCTTATACTACTCTTAAGAATAACAGTGGAGGTTAATGAGGTTCTACCAATAGTAGTACGCTCATTTCATTAAAATGCCACTTTTTTCATTCATATATAATAAGTAAATCATGTATAAACTGTTAGCAGTCTCCAATAATCCATGGGAATTTCCAGTGAAACTAAATAAGGGATATATAGTTTGCCTCACCAGATACGTTATATCGTACAGATTTGTACTTTGCCATAGAATTATTATGCAATTTTCTTCATATAAAACGTCCTTTCTCATAAATTCAAATGATGCATGTCGTTCGATAATTTTCTACGAAAAACTTACCCCAAGAAAGCTTCCCTGATGCCAGATTGTAGCCTCAGGATGAATGAATATAGGAAAAATGTGGACTTTCTTGCAATGTCTCTAGTGTAGAATATAAGATCTAATGTAGTAATTAGGGTTTCGAAATCTTACAAAGAGACAGAAGCTATTCAAGGAATGGGTGGACGAAGATGCAACAACCTCAGTCGGAGCTACCGAAGAGATTTTTGCGACCCCGGAAACATACTCTCGTTAATGTACAGAAATTGATTTGAGCTATCGATAATTTTTAATGGCTGTTTTTATTTGTATAAACGAATTATAGCTGCGAATAGAATTGGATCGTAAGCGTTGCCTTATAGATTTCATACGACTAGAGACTCATGGTTTGATGACCGTGGGCGTTGACTGAGTGCCTATAACGGTTTTTCACAACTATTTAACAATAGATTTGTTGGTCTTCGGCTACTAGTACCTTAAAAGACAAATTAAATATTATGCCTCTAGTACTCAGCAGCATAATGCGATTAAGTAATTTGGCCAATGTTGTTCTTCGATCTGTTTTTATCTAGTATCCCTATATGGCATGAATCTTTGCTGTTCATTTATAACAGCACATAGAGGAGATCAGGTATAAATTCATATTTTTTTTCAATCATGTTTACGAATAGAACGAGGCTTCAGACTATGTTATATATTCCATAGGTTAGGTTTAAAGCAGCATCCCTCGGCTTGATAGTTATGGACTCTGACTAAAAGATTGACACGGCGGCTGGTTAATCGTACCTGTTAGGATATTGATGCCGTCGTTAAGTTATGGTGTTTCTATTACTTAACGGCATTACGATTTAAAATCAGATTATAGAGTCACCTTGATCACACCCAGGCACAAGCCCACCTCATCGAAAATCCTTCTAGGATTGGCTGCGCACCCCAAATAATAAAACCTCGCATTGCCTTCCCCTTTTGGCGCTTTTTTTGTTACATCAAGGGAGAGCACCCAATATCCTCACCCCGTTTTAAGACCTGTTCAAACTCCATTCGATATTTTTGGGGCTTCATATTTCAATCACCATGGTCAATCTCTGTCTGCCCCTAATCCGTTCAGCAGATTAAACTTATCCCCCAACTTCTCGTGGGGTGAACATTCTCTCTCATGTTTGACCTTACCCTTTGGTTCTATAGGGTATAAAACGGTTCTGGATACTGGTTACATCTATCTAGACCCTTCAAAGCATAAATACTTAAGGCTTGAAGTAAGTACATGAGTGAGCAATCACTGGTCGCATCTCTGACAACAATGGACGCAAACTTGCATCCGATATTAGCTGCCGTAGGCCTGATTCCGACATCTCATGTCAATCACTACCTACATACGGCCACTTCAGTTGGACGGATGCTAACAAGATCATCGCGCAGATCCAGATCATCTTCCGCCTCCGCGTCTCCTGCGCCTCAAACTATACCAACGGTACGTCGCGTTCGTATATCCCCTGCAATACGACAGGCTCGGGTTGGTCCGACAAACGATGACAAGAGATTGCAATGTGGCTGGTGCGCGTACCAAACCGAAAATCGTCAGCATATGACACGTCACGTTATGCGGCACACACAAGAAAAGCCCTTTAGATGTCCTTATTGCCCGCATAGATTTTCCAGGAACGATGCCCTGAAGAATCATATAAAAATACACGTCACAGAGAATCCTCTTCAGTGTACGGACTGTAAATTCATGGCTACGACTTTGGAGGATCTTAAAAATCACGAAAAACAAGATCACAAGCATGCTTGTAAAGCATGTAGCGAAGTATTCTCTACGAACAAAAGTTTGCGATGCCACGAGGCAAAACATTGCAGCTTTCGGTGCAAACACTGCAAATTCTCGTCGATTTACCGCAAGAAGGTCGAGGGGCACGTTCGTTTGGAACATAGCGCCGGGAGCGAAAGTATCGTTGAGATGAGGTTGCTTCCTGTAACAAAATAATTAAAATACCGATTTGGGCTCTCTCAAGATTTGCCCCATTATCTAGCTGCAAACATTGAGCCTGACATTAGGTAGCTGAATCGTGCTCACCGTGCCTGAATCTCATGTCTGCAGCTGTATGCACATACAGCAGTTTTCCTAAGAGAATATCTAGAGGGATGCCGCTTGTTGGGACGGGGCCTGGTTTCCTAGAGCCTATGCAAATTGCTAGGGTTATTATTGGTACCAGAATAAATAAAAATCGAATAAAGGCTTTATGTAGTTTTAATTTAAGTTGCTACTGTTGTTTTTGACATTTGGCTTTGAAAAAAATATTGTGTATCATCTAACTATAACATGTTGTGTATTTGATGACTTTTCGTGTAATACCGCCATTATTTGGAGCTTCATTCATTGCAAACCGAAAGTTTTGTGCGGGAATTAAGACCTGATATGTCCAATAAATAGTCAACATCATTAAACCAAAGCATTTTGAACAAGAAACCAGGGCCAATTACAGAATAAATCAATCGATTTTTACGATAAAAACTTTGTTTATTTTGTTATAACAATAATAACAAGTAGATGATTATCAAGATTTTTTTTCCGGGCCAATAGACTGATGGAACTCATTTAAAAAACAATTAATAAATAAGGTACATCTCTTTTAACCGAACGCATTTTGCAACTTAAAACATACGAAATAGTTTACTGTCACCTTGTCGAACATCTGATGGCGCGGAGCACTTATTTATAATGTTATCTGATTTGACATCAGACAAATATCAGAGCAGAAAAGTTACAAATCAAAACCTGGAATGAAGAAAAATAAAGCTAAAAAGCAACGCTTTTTTTAAGTACAAAAGGTTAGTGAAACATTTCGAACAGTTAACGTATTGTTACCGCTATACTATAATTTTTCCTCACGCGAACATAATAATGCATTGGCTTTTAGATAAGTTGGTAGTACAACCCGTTCTTAAATGATTATCTAGTTTGGCCTACTTAACCGTTTGATCAATTCGGGACCAACCTCTCTTCGTAATTCGGATATCTCTAGGTTGGGTTAGGTTAGGGAGCTGACTTGAGGGTCATGCCGATTTTAGAGTCAACGTTGAAGCTCATCCCAGTACCCAGCATTAAGCAGATTGGACCCAAATAAATAAATAGAATAAATTTTCATTTCGAATAAAATTTAATGATATATCGACTTTCGGTACCGATGTAGGCGCTTTGCTTTCTAGAACATCTGAGTAAGAAACATTATTATAGTCTGTGGCAATGTCGAGTGCATTTACTCAGCCATACAATTTTAGCATATAATATATACAAGATAAACACGACAGAACAGTGTGGATCCTGAGAATGATCATCAGGTATAGTGGCAAGGAGTGCAGCGACAGAAAGCATTGCTAACATCTATATTATAGGTCCTGTTTGTCAGGAAGCTCTTTATATGTTATATATAAAAATATATATGTTATATATATATATATATATATATATATATATATATATATATATATGTTATATGTTATATATAAAAAATGGCGAAAAAAAAAACCAATTAATTTCATATAACTTATATATAGAAGTAGGGAACGTTAGGTCATCAGTGGCACTGATTTAGATCTAAAGGTATTATTATGACGTATTCGAGGTAGACTAGGCAGCATATTCCTGTTGTTCTCTATTGAAGCCTCGCATCCAAGCTAAACGGAATGAATCTAATTAGAATTAGATCTATCAAGCACAAGTTCTGTCAATGTGGTAATAATTGACAACAAGCTGCCAAAGGACACTGGCGATATTTTTCCAAGTGCTTTCGGACCGCATAATGCTACTTGGTGTCGATATTAACCAGCGGCTGAACTAATAATGGTCGTTAGATCGAATGTATGTTTAGAAAACTAACGGTGTTGAACGCTATACTATTTGAACAAAAAAATTGGAAACATCCCATTGGCCTTTCGTGTGCAGAACGTTTAAGGCCCTATTGCAAATTACATTTTTCACTATCGGGGGTTTGCGGCACAGTACTTCCTAAAATGACTTAGGCCTCATTCAGAAAATACCACTCTCTTGTTAAAGTATAAAAATTTATTATCGCAGAACGTGCCGCTTGATCCGTAGGAAGATACTTGATTAAAAGAAAAGTCCCGTTGGGTACATACGTAAGCAATATTTGTGTACGATTCTCTAAAACATCGCTTTATTAAGCATCTAGATTGATTTAATAATATGAATACATGACAGGCATCGATTATTAAGAGTTCATAATAAACGACAACGAGATACGATACCGTAGAGAAATACCGCTCAGTCCTATTTTAATGAAGGCCTCAATCAGTCAACGGCCTAATATAATAACTCACAAATGATTTTGAAAATGAAAATTTCACTTTTGCTAGGAGATCCAAATACGGGATACTCGGCAGAAATATGTCAACGGTAGAACAGTTATAACTTAATTGAAATTGTAGCATAACATAATTAATACAGAAGAATGGGACGTCATCACGGAGTAATAATTGAAAAGAAGCTTTAAATTCGTTTTAGGCTAGTTTAAGATAAATATCAATATCGTGTTGAAGTGTGGCTCTTTAAAAAACAAAATGAAGCCTAAGATAACCTTTAATAAACTTATATTTCAAATGCTCGTTGTCGTGCCTAACCTTGACATGTTTGACACCGTATATATACATAAATATGCTGGCGCGCTACCTAATTTTCGGATTCGGGTCGACTCAAAGACATATTTCTTAGCTTCTCATTCTAGCCGGAGATTTGCAGCTTGAACGCCGCCATATTGTTTACCTTTAGATCCGTCGTAACATGCAAACGAATTCGTTTTGCGCATAGCTAAGTCCAAGTAGGTGTTGTTTAAGCTGTAGGCGCAACTGCAACACTTTTGTGAAACCTACCTGTACAAAAACGCTTCGAAACTATTAGGCCAATGTAGAGTTGAGTCAGGTGGTCCCGGGAAACTTATTGGAACAGCAAAGAGCAGAGTCACTAACTGAAGTGTTAGGTAAAACAGATTACAGACAGAAGGTGTAGATCGGTGCTATATATTTTATACGTTTCGTCTCCATTGCAGGAATTTCTGCAGTAAAAATTACTTCTGAGTTATCACGTTGTTAATACAGTAAAATATACAAAAGAACTTAATATATTCAAATGGCTGAGACTCACTAGCAAAAGACCTAATTTCCTGAATCGTCTACCAATTCGTTGGAACAATTTTTTTTTTTTTTTTTTAATATTAACCCGTTAGCTTGTATCAGAAAAAACGTATAAGTTGAATTTCCAATTTTTCGTTAGTTTGCTGCTTGTATTAACATCGCTTAGGATTTCATATGTGATAGTAACTCTGGTTAGCGTAACCATATATTAGCTACTCAAGGGTAACTTCGTGTGTAGGTGCTACTTGCGCCTCCTCACCTATTATATACATTTAGATCGATAGACGAGTAGATAACGTATTAGTATGAAGTTATGCAACATAAGACCGGAGTCCCTCATACGCGGGTGTTCAGTACTCTCGTCTGAACTGATTAAGCCACAAAAGCTAAAGATTAATTTCAATCAATGTAGCAGCGAAGACGACTCTGCAGTGATTGTCAATGACTAAATTTGAACTTCAGTACCCCTGTTACTTAAGAGTAGAGCAGAAAATAAAGCAATACCGTATCACATAATTCAAATTCCAATTAAATCCCCTAAATTCAATGAAATGTTATTGGATTTAAGACCGCGCCCCATTCGTCCAACCTCCTGAGGTCTTCGTATTTTCAAACACCGTCGGTTACATAAACCAACCCCATCAAACCCCGCACCTGCCACAAATATTAACCCTATCTTCCGCGATCGCGCCTTGTATACCTCAATTGCTCTAACCCATTAACACTCTCTCTCCGGCGGATTGACCCTCTCTTAAATATACTGTACATAAGACTGTGTTTTCCCGTCATCTGGCACAATTGGCAAATCATTTTGAGCAGAGGTGAACCTCACAAGTGAACTTCAGCTAGTCGTTCCTTTGAATCAAAATGGACATTAATGTAAATGATTTCGAAATTGCGCAGGCCTTGCTTCTGTTATCAGTACCTAAGTTATACAGAAATATGGCTGCTTCGGCTGGCCAAGTACTTTTGGACGCTTCGACAGGCTCGATGAAAACCGGTATCAATGCAAGTTCCATCTCAGGTCCAGACCAGGTCGATGGTGAAAACTCGATTGTGCCTGCGAGGTCGGTAGTCGAAGTAGATGAGGTCAACGACGTCGATCTCGAGATATCCGTGTCGACTTCGACTGCTGTGCATGACGTTGCTCGCTTATCCCCGGCCAGTTTGGGTGGTCAGGTTATCACGGTGGATGGTAGCAAAGAACTTCGGTGCAAATTGTGCCCTTATGAAACCAGACGTCGACAGCATTTAGAACGTCACGTTTTGCGGCACACAAACGAAAGGCCTTTTGTGTGCCCGCACTGTTTACGACGGTTTTCCAGGAAGGATTCTTTGACGAAGCACGTGAGCACACATGCGGGAGACACGCCTGGTCAATGCGTGTATTGCTGTCATATGGCTTCCGACAAGAAGGACCTTGAAAACCATATGAAGGAAAAGCACATCCATTTCTGTAAGGTATGCCGAAGAAAGTTCCCTACAAATAAGACTTTGCGCGGGCATGAAGCAAAGCATTGTAAATTCGGTTGTAAACACTGTGTTTTCTCGTCAATTTTTCGTAACAAGGTCGAGCGCCATGTTCGTCTGGAACATAACGCAGATGACGAAAGCGTCGTTGTAATCCGATTGCTTTCCTCTGCATCCCAAGAGTTATCAGAGCACTCCCAACGGCAGTCGCACTTATCCCAAGGACAGGACGAGCCTTCTCAGGAACTGACTGAAACGCCTCAAGAGCCACTCGATTTGAGACTACGTAAAAATCTTTATTTAGAACTGGCAAATCTACACGAGAAAAAATGAAATCAACAGTGAACAAACAATGCAATCACTACTACTCATATGATCTATGTAAATATTGTAAACACAGTGTGCTTAATTGTATTCTTCACCTTACATTATAATTAATAAGTAAATGAAGAAAAATGTATTGAAAGATATGAAAGAAATTATTTTGTGTTTAATCATTTATTCAGCATTGCTTAAAGATACCACACACAAATTAATATCGCAGGAATATGTAGTTCACAAGTATGATACTATATAACAGATTCCATCCAGTGATCCCAATGCCCAATGTTACGGTAATCTACCTATTAGGCTGCTATAGGCGAAAGCGAACCTAGTGTATTTTAAATTGAATACATTTTGAGCTAGTTCATCTTGAATGATGATTTTTAATATGCCTTAGATGTAATTTGCCTTGTTTTATACGTTCAGCTTCAGAAGAGCCATGTAATACTATTATTAATGCCGCCGCCTAATTTCCCTATCTACGACTTCTCAAAGTAACTCGGTAGTGGGGTTTGCTTGCTGACCATTGCGTTGTTTAGGGCATAGTATTCCCAGTAATCACACGGACTTAAAAAAATAAGCAGACTGAAACACACGTCAAATATTCCTTTACTCAATTCACGGGGTAGTTGAGGCACGACGATGAAATCTGACGTCATCAGGTAACCAGACTGCGTGCTTTTAATTTTCGTACCAACGATCAATAAGTCTTCTGGAAGGCTCGAGCTAGCAGACTGAACTCATTGTTTTATTTTCCATATATATCTTATAATAGCAGATGCTCGTAATGTTGTACTACCATCACTTTTCATTTGAACCTATTCCATAATCACCAAACTATTTCTCTGCAGGACGACGCCATTCTCTCGCCTAGTCCCTCTCCCGCTGATGGTAGAGCTTGGGCCATGTCTTGTCTTAGCAGTAGGGATGGGTTCCTTTTGTTAATTAACGATTAACAAATTAGCTGACCTAGAGTTAATTTACGGAAAACCCATATTTATTCAAGTTTTAGAACTGTTAGTACATGGCTTATAATTAATATAACACATTATATATGCTATGCCAGTTTTGGTCAGCAGAGCTTTTAGCATTGCAGTGCATCCCTGCCCTCGGCTCCTGACACTTACTCGCCTCTTCGCTGGTTTTAAACACTCCACTTTTCGTTTTTGAAACGTTTGCATCATTAACGTACAGTGTCTTACTCCTTTTGGCCTATTATCCCAATTTTCGATGAACTTCGGCAACTCAATGGCCTTGGAGAAGCAAAAACCTGTGGCGTGTTCACTTTAGAGTAGACCCGATTTTCGCTCACAAGTTTCTAGAAGACTGAAGTATTTACCAGCAACATTTTTCCTCTTTATTTATTTACACACATTTATAGCCATTTTGTCTGCTGGCGGCGCGTTGTGCAAAATAAATTTTGAAGACCGTCCGATTTGCATGTAACAGCCTCCGCGTTAACTTGGCGAGGTCATTACAGCTGTGACTCATCATCATGTGCCGAAAACAATAGATGGGTAAGGACTTAATACACGAAATCAATCGCTAATCAAATCGATCGTCTCCCAGCATTAGCTGTGAAACAGACTACGTGGTAACTTCGTTTACGTTTAGTCACTCGTTATGGGATCAAGCGTGTTTGGATGGAGCCTTCTGCTCCATTGACAACTACCCCCGAACCATCTGCTTTTAGTTGGTATTTTTCTTATTAGACGGAAGGATGTCGCGTTGAATTTTACGCTTGGCACATACCGTCCGTCTTCTAGACTATACCTCACTGGCCCTTTTACAATCCATACAATTCAAATTATTATCAAATAATCTTATCATAAACATTTATGGAATAAATCAGTTTTCTCTTAACCGAAAGCAGACATGATTACGTTAGTCAATGACCGACTCTTGTTGTAGTGACCTGTTACATAAAGACTATCCTAGTGATCAGATGTTACCCTATAGAAATCCATCGCCTTGGAAAGTAGCGAAGTGTCACCCTTTGAATACATCTCGATACTCGTCAAGTGATGCTCAGAGATAAGGGAAGGTGATCCCCGATGAACAATGTAGATCCTGACAGGGGGGTGTTCACTATAGTAGCTTATGCAATCTTGGGATAAGAATTAGGGCTTCATTGGGTCGCGCGAAGTGTCTTCTAGGGCCATAGGTTTTCATAGAGCCTTGTAACGACAGGTCTCAGAAGACAATGTCACAAAGGCAAGGTGTCCTCGACGTAAATATATCGCAAATGCCCGAATAATATACAAATATTGCCATATTTACTTTTGATCTCGTCTATGTAAACGAGTCTCATTAATAATAATAAGCATGTAAATCCTTCAGAAATGTCTCGGAAAATTTGAAATCGAACACAAGACCTTTAGAATGAATTGTGCTGACACACAAGTTATTTTATTGCGCGATTAAATCAGATTTTTACAAAGTTATAGATTTATTTTCGTTATAATATTTATTATAAATGCAAAACTCTTCACTTACTTAGATCGGTGACCACGGCGCATGTGATATATTTTTTTTGGGTTTAAGTTATAGCGTCAATGCAAACCACGATCGGTAACTGGTTGTAGAATGGGGCAACTTTTCGCGCTAGTTATAGTCCATTGTCAAACCTGCTCGTTATGGGGTTTGTAAGGTACATAAGATAGACTTTAATGAGCAATTGTAGGTATTCGACAAGGATATATTTTAAAAAGCTTCAACGTTAAACACCACATATTTTAAGTAAATATCAACATCTGCATTAAAGTCCGTTAACTTCTTAGCACATTTAAACTTCTGATCAAGCTTTTCTCATTTCAAACGATTTAAAAAATTAATTGTGAAATCCGAAAATTAGTTGAGAAAATTCGTGGTTATTCAAGATATTATACTGCGTAAAATCTCTAAAGATTCCTATTTAGGAGCTCTCCTTGAGCCACATATGGTTACGAGTGTCCAGCTTTGCCCGGTACGAGGGTTTCAGACTTTAGCTAAATGTTGGCGTGCTCCAAGTGGTGCTCTGATTCCTATCAAAAGAGTGGACAACACGCCTTGCCAGGATGCGCCATGTTTGTCAACAATCGCCTTCACATCCTATAGAATTACTTGATGAACATCGAGGATTACAATTAATTGAAAATAGATAAGATCAGCTAAAGAACAATAAAAGTTCAAGTAAAATAGGTTGGTAAAATCGATTGATGCCACTAATATTAACAATAACAATACAATATTCATTCAGTGATGACAACAACAAGTTAAATCAAACTTAGCCATGTTAACCTAAGAACTATTTAAAGTTGCTGATAGCGCATACGCTAGTAACAGTGGGACGTCGTCCGTTGTTGAGTTTCTAGCTTAAGTGCAGTAAGTTCAGCGTAAGTGCAGTTACTGCGCTTACGAACGCAGTAGTTATACTGCCTTAAATTGTCGAAAAAAAAGTCCTAGCAATTTCCAACGAGATGTCAATAGATTGAAGATTTATTGAGTAAATACAAAACCAATTATATATACAAAAATAGGTCGTTTTTCATTGTTGCCCATCGTCATTTCTAGTTAGGTTAGGAGTGTTGGGTTAGGATTCGCTGCCGTCACTAGTGGTTCGTTCAGGGCTATAAAATATATTGTCGCAAGGTGAAATGCTCGGCTAAGTATAAAAACAAATCGCTGATCTGATACGATATCAACAAAAAATTGTTAATTTTCGTTCTCTAATATGCTGTATAAGTAAAGCGATAGTATACCAAATGAAAATAGATGAAAAAAAAAAAAAAAAATACATGTTTGTACCGGGACAACGTCAAGCAGCTCAATAAACATAACGAAATTTACGTCAAATTGAAAACTATAAAAGATCATAGGTAAGCCGCAGGTTTTCTGGATCACTGTTCGCCTGTGAAAATTTTCCCCTGTCGCCTGTATTTGTTGTTAGATAAAAACTATCCGGACGGCTACGGTGAAGCCAACGTTTTTTTGTACAACTGATAGAGCAAATTGTGAACACTTATTATTTCAATTTTATTATCGCTAAATAATAAATATAATATTAATATATAAATAATCATTGAATCACTCATGTATTCTGGCTAGTAATATGGGAGTGGTTTTCAGAAGGTCGCGATAGGCTAGGAGTAATTTGTTCGAATTGAATACTCGTTAGATGGGCTGCGTTTCGCATTGCAAGCCAACAATTTCCATTTTAGCTATTATATAATCAGGCGTGTGTAATATATGTCGGTGTCGGACCCGATGAACCAATGAGTCTGGCCAATTTAAAAATCATAAAGCTCTTCCGTATGCTTGGTATCGTGTACGCTTGAAGCCTTGCCATTCCTTATATTGCCTGTCACACAATTTTTTTGCATAGAGATTGCAACTTTTCATCTCCGATTCAGAGTTACCACAGAAACAACAAATTCCCAAATCCTCATTTTCACCGATAAATCAATGTAATTTAATGGGGTAGTTGTGATTGGCATGAAGATAGCACTGTGCGATCAATGTCTTCCAAAACTCTGCGTGTTACGGGAAAATGACCAGATAATAAATACGACTTAATAATTAATGATTTAGTTATGACTTATTTTTTCAATTAGTTTTTGCAAGCAACTTACGCGTTCAACGCCATGATGACTAATTATTCAGTGACTTAAAAATGTCTACATGAACAAAAACTGTATATGTCCTTAATCGTGTTTTTACCACAGCTTCATTCACACGGTAGATGGGCCTTTTTTTCGTCCAGACGATCGCCGAAGCGAACATTTTCGTAGGCACGCTTTTTGATACTCTAGAACGTCTTGTCAATATACGCTCCTATATATTAAGGGAGCTAAAATATAAAAGCGATTATTATATGAATATATCGCTGGCTTTGTAATAAAAATAGAATTGGATATACGACCTTTCAGCTAAATAATGCGGTCCTGCTCAACTCGGCTGATACCAACGTCACTACTTCTAGTATCGCGTAGGTGAATATAAGGGGAATGATTTAAAAAAAAAGTAACCGATCATCTAAGCCAGAGGGGGGTAGCTATTTCGGAATTATATTTTTGACGCAGCTCACAGTAATTGATCAGTCGATTATTGCAGAATAAATACAATTGTTAGAACAATTCTCGGAGACTCGATTTTGTTTTTTTACGTATCGCCGTACCAATGTATTTACACATTAATGACTCTATCAATTCATTCATTCATTCAGGGTAGATTATCTCCGCGAACGCCGATAGTACATATAACCAAGGTGATCCCTTAGCTTCTTGCGACGCCTTCAGCAGCTCCTTAGCCTCTAATGAGAACTTCAAACGAACTCCTAACTTCGTCGATTGCTCCAGTGGTCAAGCAGGTACAGAGGTACGGTCATTCTTACTATCTATCTAATATCAGTTAAATACACAAATCGTACGGCCAGAGTGAGGGCAAATATTGGCTGGCAAGCCTTATGAAAAGAACTCCTTGTACTTAAGGTATTCCTACGTCTGCGTATAGAGACTAATGAGCATAACTCGATGTTGCTTTCAGCCAAATTAGAACGATGATCATTCATCGCTATGATTTGGCTGAGGCTCTTGCAGTCGATAATCCCGGCCTTGCCATCCTTTAGCAGGACCATGATTTTTTGTTTGATGCGCACGCTATGTCAAATATCGCGCATACCTGTTAGAGGAAACAACTCTTCTTTCTTTTCTGCCCTGATTGGTCATCGGATTGCCCAATAATTACGCCTACTGAGCTCCTTTCTCTTGTAATCGATTTTTATTCGATCTCTCTTGTACAAAGGATTAAATACACGGCGATGTCTAGTATGCGCATTTAAGCACCTTGGAGTATATAAATATTTATAAAATACGAATAACATCTATATAAACGAAGGTAGTGTTATATGTGATTTACTAGTAACTGCTGTATAGTCTGATTGTGCTTGTTAGTATAGCCATTTTTGTTTGTTTAATAAGTAACAGCAACTTGACGGAAAGCCGGCCTGCACTAATGGCTCGGAATTTTTCCATTACACCCGTAAACACTCTTAATTTAACTGACGTTTTTTCTCTAGCTCCCGTGTTCCCCTCCGATTCTGGCTCCGCTCCGGTTGTACGACACCGGCCACTTTGGAAGCCCAGGCCGTTCCTGTAAACGACAACAGAAGATGTTATTCCAATTGGTACCCTTACGAAGTAGATATTACTCAACACATGAGGCATCGTTTGTTGCGTCGGACCAAAGAGAAGCAGTTTAAGTGGCCCATTGTTTGGCTAGATCCTCCAGGGACGATTCCATCGACAGAAACATATAAGTTTACAAGCCTGGAAAAGTCCCTTCAATGTGGACGTTACAATAAGTGACAAACGACCGCAGTGTGCTCGATAAACACGAGGCAGAAAACAAATTACCCCTATGTGGGAAATCTTGCGGGGTGTATCTCTTAAGTGAGAGTCTAAGAAAGCGCCAAGCACAGAATCTGATGCTCGTTCATCACACAGAGTTATCTGCCTTTTTAGCCATTTCTCAACTCGTCAAAATGAATGTTGTTTCGCAGTATACAAATGTTCTAAAACTAATTATATTGTGTATTTTCTATATATATACAATTATAAGAAATTATATGCCAAGGACTACCAGACCATCGCGTCCGATACCGCATCCTTTCAGACAGTTAAGCTCCAACTCGGCCTGCCCAGTATAAATCGTCGAATGTTATTAAGTGATTGTTTCAAAGATGGCTGGCAACAATCGATACGAACTTCTCAAAACGTTCAGAACTGAAGAAGCACGACAGATATTGAAACAAAGATAAATTTCTTCTTTTACGTCCGGAACTAATTTTACTGGGTTGCTCCCATACGCATCATAGTTTCAACGTATAGGATTCAAACTCTGACTACGACGTATTCTGAATAATAGCAGCGACGTACGTTACTAACACCGCTATCAGGACAACGATGTTGATATTCAATTATTACTGACGAACGTCCGGCATTGGTAACGACCCTTCAACTCAAATATGGATTTTTTATATTAAATCTTTATTGCAAAGGGTTGTAGGTTCAGACTCGCACACGGCCGTGACTGCGTCGAAACCAAGAGGGACCAGTGTAAAGACACCGGCAGATCTCAGAATCATCACAATATCAGAACGACGCAGCGACGTACGCCGCACGTCGATTTTAGTAATTCCCATTAAAGCTGAAGTGTAAAATACCGACATCGTATTTCTAGACAGTCACTTCAGAATTGAATAAGTTGTATTTCTTTTAGTTATTCTGCAATAGTAGACTAACTTGTCACAGTGAACTAGGCCAAAAATAGAGTTTAGAAATATTTTAGCGTCCTAGGCTTGGATTTTTTCTATGATTCCCTTACAGTGTGATCGTAGAAACAGCGGTTACGATTATTAATTAGAAACTATATTAAAATCAAGCCAATTTGTCATAGCAACATTAGTTGGCTGACAGGGCTCACGTAATAACATTCACTATCACTTGTACATTTTAGTTTTTTAATGTATAAGAGGATATAACAGTAGGAAGATGTTTCCGAGTACGTATAAAGCGCGTTTACGAAAATATCTATCTTATCCGCGTAATTAGCTCGCGTACGTGAAGGTATGCGTACTTAAAATGCAAGTATTTATAAGAGAGAGATGCGGTCTTTTTAGGGACAAGCTTAGTTGGGTCGAGACTGTCTGCCTCGGTGGACGGATATCAGTAATTAAAAACGGGCTCGAAACAGCAATACGATCTGTCTTTTGATGACGCAGAGGGAAAAGCTCCAGTGGGCGGACAACGAAAAAGCAAAATGCGCACACAGAATACAGTAAGACGTTAAGCCTGCCGGATGACGGCTTAAAGAAATGCAAGGCCCTGACACTTCTGAACGGTACAACAGCAGGGCAGAAAGAGTGAAAGCTTTGGGATTAGAATCAGATGAACGCGTGAAATGGTTATGCAGAGTCGTGGACTCAAGCTCCGATACCTACATATGCTATACACGCGTGATTAAATAATTGATTGAAAAAATTGCAATATGAAATATGTCAGCTCATTGGAGCAGCTTCCGTGTTTGAAACAATTCTTTCCAACCCATTTCGACTTTATGAAGGCTACCTCCATTGAACAGACTAGCGAAAAGCCGCAACAAATAAATACATAACTTTTTAATTACAATTTATTTACAATAGTGTGCTTTAATTTAGCGTATCAATTATTACAGTAAAAGCCGTTCTGTACCGGATAAGTAGTTTTAATCGTTCGTGTCGAACAATAACGAAGTTGACTACAGGCACTAGGGTGTCGCGTCCATAAGTGAGCAATGTTTTCTATTACGATTTTGAGAAGTTGTAAGTTCGACGTGGAATTCGCAGTATATGTATGTACATATATATATATATATATATATATATATATATATATATATATATATATATATATAGCCGTTCAGCTGCCTGAAGATACCGTAATCAAACATACGAACGCTGAATTTTTACCCGTCCTTATCCGGTACGCTATCATTGTTTTACCTATACAGCGGACAAGGATTGGGCAGTGCCGTGTCACATCAAAGATTTATTCTGTCCTGGTTAAGTGTCTCGTCCTGTGATGATATGTTTTCGTCCTAGACGAACTACTATTGATGCGCAGAAGGTCCTAATGGTGAATTCTAATTCTGCGAATACTTTTTCGGCCCAATTACAGATGATGTCGAGCAGCAATAAAAACGAGACCATTTATTTTTCAGGTACATATATAAGTTTTTGGTTTCCCATAGATCCCATACTAGCTCTATTTCAAACCCACTAGTTTTACGTCGTGGGTTATCATTCGCTTATCCGAATCCTCGATGTGCGTCAATTACATTATATAAGCGTGCTAACGGACTGCTACTGACGTATGCCCGGTCAGCTACTTTGAAGCACGTGAACGTATATCAAGTAGTTCTCGTTTAGCAACTGAATGAATATTATCAGTATTTATGCCATTCATCTATCTCGCAGTAAGTGAAGCTCCGGATAACTGTCAAAGCATTCAAAGCCATATCGAGGGTACGGAGGATCAGCTAGAAACGGGCGAAAATATTGTGAGCTCTACCGAACATCATTATGGTGACGATCGTTGCCGAAGTCCGGATTTAAAAACGCCTTGCGACATGCAGTGCACCGTTACCAGCTCCGTACCTCCTACAGTGGAAACGCAAGGTGCGTATTGAGAAAACACCTTAATTTCGTTCTCTGAACAATATTTTCACTATTAAAATTAAGGCTGTAATGTAATTGTGATGAAAATAGTTGATCACATTGGGTAAATCATGGTACACCCGATATATGCTCATAACGGGGGTACCTTATGACGTTACAGAGAGCGGCATGTTACAAGAACCAATTAGGGACAATGAGAGCACGTTCACTGTTGAAGCGGGCGGTGATTTACCTTTAGCGCAAGCGAAAGCTCATGGCGTAATTGCCGACATCGCAAATGAGCCCAGTATGTCTTTTCCTTTTCACGTGATGTTTCCCATATTTAAAAAAAAAAAAAAATACGTTCCGTGTAGTCAATTTCCGAGTAAATTATACTCTGGTGCCTATCGTTCAGTAAAAAAATATGTAGAGGCTGAACTCGATGATCAGTCAAACAACTACAGGGATTTATATTTTTATATTAAGCAGCAGCAGCATCAGAAAAAAATATTAGTTTCTTTATTATAATAGCTTCTTTAAACCTTGAAAATTTGAAAATAAATACAATTAATTTTTTTTTAACTTAAAATATCTGTAAACCGCAAACATAAGGAGAAGACTGAAGGTTAGAGAATAATTGATTCCTGTGTATGTACTGTCCCGCATGGAAATACAGATACAGACCTCCCGACAGTTGTGTCTGGTACAAGTACCGCAGACGGCATAAACGGAGACTTTATAAACCCACCAATTTTGACGGCGGAGGCCAAGAGCGAAGGTAAGTGTTTCCTGAATCTAGAGGGCGTTCAAAAGATAATCACATACAAATACAATAGATCGGATTGATGCTTCATGTGCTGTTGCTTGAGGCATAATAGATACAGATCGGTACAGGGCTATCCGTCTTTGTCTGTCTTGAAAGAAACCACTGAGCAAAGCGATTACATTTGAACAAGCCGGCATAATCCTCCATTGTTTTCTTAATTCCCTTGGATTCTATTGTGACAAACGCAGTGGGTGGAACGTTGGCATTTGAGTTGTATGATGAATCGAACGTTGACACTGTGACTACTGTAGAAGATAGCGAGAATATGGATGAACGCCCTGGACATGAATCTGGTGACACCGGAGCGACAAGGCTTCGAGAGTTACAGCCTCACGTAGACACTGATCTTAACCTGAACACAGCCAGACATTCAAACGGTAAGGTTTACTATTTGGAACGTAATGAACAACGAGAAAGTAACGAAGTAAGCGTTGTCGAATTGTTCAAATTCAAATTTGGCGGGGTGATTCGTCAGTTACTATATATTTGAGTAACCTATGTTCAGAATCTTTTTTAGATAATCGGCGATGTTGAACGCATCGTATCGGAAGTACACGGCCACGTAACAGAACGATTATTTATTCAATCTAATTGTCGTAGTTTTTCTACGTTTGTTCCTTCACTTCACTTCACTTCAAACCTGTAATTACGTGAACTTTCGAGATGCGTTTATACTGAGGTGACGCGTGCATGCAACGCGCACTACAATCACCGATCACACTGATTTTCTTTTATCTAAAGAAGCAATTTTGAAACTTATATTCAATGTAACGTGGATTTTGCGTCAGACGATGATGTGGATGACTGGAGCGTGGTTGCTCAGGCTGGCTCGGACGATGAAAGTGTTGTCGAAGGCGTTGCTGTAGTTGATGATCGTGGATTAGGGGACGTCAGTGCACGTAATGACTGTGGCCCTGCCATAGGCGAAGAGGCAGAAGCTGAGCATATCGTCCTGACGACACATACGGACCGTGGGAGTCCTCTCTTTTTCGAAACAGCGCTCAAAGATTCCGAAGATACGCACGTAAAAGCTAGTGAAAGCTGCTTGCAGGTTGACAATAGCTCTAGTTTATCCAACGAAGGTTCTCGGCCCGTTCCGTCTACGGTGTCAAATCCGTTAAACCGAGATGCCCTTATTTCTCGAGCTCCAAATCAGCAAGTAGACTCTAGCCAAGCGGAAAAAACTGCAGAGAATAACGAAGACCTGTACGGGCCTCGAGTGTGGGAGGTTCACGCTGCATTTCTGATGGCCGTATTAGCAATCATTTGGATTGTCGTCGGCGAGTTCGTGAACAGATTCACTGCCTGGATGAATTACGCTGAGCTATGAGCAATATCTTCGTGATCCGTTTTTGTTATAATTGATTGGTAATATTGGAATCGTATCTGTTCCATAATACCATTGAATCTACTCCTACTATGCAGAGATTCTTGGAATGCTGCCACTACGCCCTTCAATAAATCGTGTTATTTGAAAGTGACTGGTTCCTATTGGAAGATCTGTATTTGCGCGTGTTCGAAATCGCAGGGGATCACACAATTGTAATTAAGATTGTGGTGACGATACCTTTAGTAGCTGGCATATTTATTATTAGCTAGTACTGATGCATATATGCCCTTGCGTAGCCACATCAGTACAGAAATCATTTAATTGCCATTTCACATAACACAGTTCAACATGCGACTGTATAATTTAAACATGTTAAAACAAATGAAAAGCAAATTGTCTCATGAACTCTATGTTAGTTCCCCATTGGTTTTGCATTCGATGCTTGAACGCCGTCTAGGAATTCCCGCTTCATTGTGTGTCATAGCCTAAAGAATATCGATCCAGTAGCTCTGTCTGGGTAACTCGGAGCAGGAGGAGGTGTACAGTTCCATCCGTGAGCCAGTATTGACTGATTCGGCCATAAAATTGGAGAGTCGAGATTAGGAGCTATTTCGTACTTGCTAAACCAAAAAGAGGACAGTCTGTTCAAAAATGGTCAGATGTCGGTATATAGGTCGTTGTTGGCCTTTTAGCGGTACTCCTTACGAAAGCGAGTTAGAAAAAAAGTTTCCTCGGTTTTCTTTGCGTTTTGCTTTCCTGTTTTCGGATACCACTGGCAACAGTGTTGTAAGAAAAAACAATTTCTTTCAGAGGCGTTCTGAATAGTTGGGACTTCTTCGACTTCTTGGGAGGAGACGTGAATAAAAAGCGTCAAACTATTATTCTATTTACCGGATGATCAATTAACTCGGCTCTTGCTCTAATGGATTTTACTATTTTAGGGAAGCTAGGGCGTTGCTGGGTCTGGGGTTCATTAAACCTTGAGCCCGAAGGCGTTCCAAACCTAATCCAGAAGCGTTCTTTAGCGTATCGGTCCCTCGTTCCATATAGATAAATAAATATATAATAATATAAATAGCAGATTCCTTGAGCGCACGGCGTGTAGTAGTGGTATTAGGGAGACGAGAACAAACAACGGAGGGACAAGTGTTCCCCCCTATGCGAAGTGGTGTATGATGGTCTGGCTGCTCAGTAGACAACAACTCATTTGAGTTTGCCTTGCTTTAAGATCGAGAGCGTTTTACAGAAACATTGGCGGCTGCTAAAGCGGTTGTAACGTCAAAAACTTGAAACTTAGGGATCTACGCCTACATAGTGCACACTCGAGGTGGTAGTCGATTATCGGCAAAGAGGGAGTGACACAAATATACCAAAAGATTATTGGCCTGACCTTTGTGAATTGGGTATGAACCAAACAGGTAAGTAGACACATAAGGGACAGGGATCGGTAGAGGTGAACGGGGGAAAAAGATAGATGCCGAAGGGGAACAATTCATCGTAACACTTTCACGCCCCTCACCTAGCTCCTTTTGTTTTCAAACCTATGTGCTAGCTTGCGTGTCAGGAGAAATGCATTCGTGGTCGGCTGACATATCGGTTTCTCTCTCTCTTTCTCTCACTCACTGTGTCGGCCGTGCTTGAAGATCTACCGTGGCCTCAGTTATAGAGCAGTAAGTAACGGTAAACAATTAATAGCAGTAGTGACAAGGGGTAGTTAGCGAATCTCTTCTAGGCGGCACCAAAAAGGATCCAACAGGCAACGGTTGCTGCCTAACAAACCGTGTCAGCCTGAACAAAGCCTCCATCTACAAGACACCTGGAAGGAGAAGGGCACTTAGAAAATTGAATGGCTAAAAACCTTTCTGCCCAGTATCCCGCTGCCCTCCAGCTAGTAACTACAGCTGAGTTAATTTTTCATTCGTGAGAGCTTTATTAAGAGTCTTAATGGCAAGTGGATGCGAATGCATAGTAACATCGTGAACACTTGCTGTTCTCTAATTTTACGTAAATATGTACACATGCCTGCATAATTATTACGTGAAGACAAGTGGACAATTAACCGAGCAACGCCGTTATCTAAGTGGATCCGCAGATCCAGTGACTGTTACCGATAAATAGGTTGGCGTCGTAGGGGGTGCATTTATTTCCATTATAAAAATGAACAGTTATCTATTCTCCATAGATACTCAAGGCAATATGGTAGAGTTAGGTAATAGCACGCCCAGAAGTTCGAAATTGTCTTGCTTTCATCCCACCGGAAAAAGCGGCGGTGAAGAAAATCCGGATTGGCCCTGCATAGAAAGTTTCACTCATGACTCAGTTGTGTAGCCCTTCAGCCTTAATATCTTTGCTACTCACTGTGCTGCGAAGCAATGACCCGCACACGAAAACAGGGATATTGTATGAATACGCTATGGGTATGTGGTTTATTCATGCATCGGGTCTGGGGGCGCAAGGAACTAGATCGGAGTTTCTGTTGTAGGTAGCCAGCAATCGACGGCAAAAGCTTGTGCAGGAATAGCAAAAGAGCTAGGTGAATTTAAGAGGTAATACACACCCACAATGTGTTCTCTAATATATGCAGTCGTTCAGCAGCGATCCTGCGGTATTGGCTGCGAGAGAACAACTGACCACAAGCAATTCGGTGCAGATCGTGGATATACTACAATTTACCCTCAACGTTAACAGGATCGCTTAAGGGGACGCTCGTTTATTTATGCAGTTGATTACAGAAGAAAATTTTAAGCAAGTGGGACTAATTGAGATGTACGAAGGTTGCTAGCTATTCTATGATCCAATGCAAGAGTACATTCACTGTACCTCAGTTCTAAACGTATAATGTATTTTCGTAGTCTTCACCTTTTTTCACGAGCAGATACTTTTAGGCAATTCTTAATAGCAATAGTTTATGGATGCGCACGTTCTTCATCTAGCAGCCAGCGTCTCGGAAGGTCATGCACGCGCATGGCGTGCATCACTCCCACACGAAGGTTTGTCATCTGCAACGCACGGGTCGATATAACTATGTATTAAGGGTTCAGCTAACATAATCACAGTAATGCGGCGCGGTAACGGAAAGGCCAGCACTGAAACTCTAACAGATTGTACAGGATTCTCAAATAAGTACGTGGGATCGGCCGGGCTCGCAAATAAATTTCTATACGTACGATAATAAATCTTCTTACAAGGTACATCGTTGAGAATAGTAGAATTATTTGGATGGAAGTACCATCAGGTATTGTCAATCAGCTCGTGGAATCTATTCAGAACGCTTCGATGAGCAAGTTCATAGGCTTTGAAATTAGCCCGTTTAGAAAGCTTGTCAGTGTGCACATGTTTCCTCGGTCGCTATCGCATCAAGTGTACACACGCACATATACGTACAGATACAAAACCGGATAATAACAGATATACACATACGATGCAAGTAAACTTTAACCGGAACAGATAATTAGAAATTACTCAAGCTAGTGCTAGGGTCTGATGTGCGATTTTCTGATGGCTCACTGTAACCGTCCGTATGATTCACAACGGTCCTGTTCCTGAATTCAACGAGGCCTGCGTATGCATTGGCTACTGACAGTGTGTCGACGAGGATATAACACATTGTTAAGGTTGCGATACAATCTAATTTGAAGTCCTTTTCATCTGCCAGTATTATTATAAGCGGCAAGAAATTTTGCAAGGCACCATTAGTTGACGAATCTGCCTTTATCTAATATCTATGCTACGGCCATAGCTATGATCAGCATGAGCTGTGACGGAAAATCTTCATACAAAATGCCTACGGGATTTAGTTCACTGTGGTCACAATGCGATGATCATCATCAGAAGCTCTTTTGACGTACCAAATGCTAAAGACCTTAAGGGCAAATGGCGCTCTTACAGAGTAGCCTATATTTTAAGAATTACAGAAAACGAGACCTATTGATGCAGCCAGCAATTGCATTCGTTCCTTAGTCTTAAAAAAATGTATGTCACATTATTCTTCTTCATGTATTGCAGCATATACAGGCCCAGCAATTTCTGTTAGTACAAACTCCTGTAGTTTAGCGTTCGGCGTCATGGAGTGCAATGATAAAATACGAGCTTGATATTGTTATTAAAATGAGCTTAAAAAGGATTTCCATAAACGCAATTAAACCTTAGATTCAGCTCAAGTAACATAAAAAAAATGGCGAGTTGATGTGCTCATAGAACACGTCTGTTGAATTAGGTTTTCATTAGCGATGTACAGGATAACCTAAGACCTATTGGAAAAACCTTTGTCATAACATCACGCCAAAGCAACAGCATGCACAGGCGTGAAGAGCATTACTTATCGTCGATATTTCATCAAATATGTAACAATTGACGTCGCCATTTGTGTGGAAGGGTCATCTCTGAGTTCGAATCTCACGTGAGTCTGTTCTCCAGTCAGAAACTGTTTTCCAGTTACTACTACTACTACTATCGATTGCTTGCTGTCGATTTAAGTGTCAGTCTATAATTTATAGCGTTCTACGGTAATCTCCCCCTATTGTTGTAAGTTTCATTCAGCGAGGTGCTAAATAATGACATCAGCAACCGTAACTTAGAACGACCCATATAGAATCAAAATGGTCCCGAGCTTCATAATTCAATACGTTCTAGTTCATTTGGTACTCTGTGGTACAATAATACAGTATATACTATACAACGATAGTATATATATGTATATATTTGTTGGCTAGCTGAGTGTATATATAACGAAACAATTGGACAGGTAACGAAGCTTCTACATAAACCTAAGAACCACATACATAGAATCCATTTAGGCGTTGGCAACGGAGATCAGACCTAGACAAACAACGCTATTTGAAGAGGATAGTAGCAATCGATAAGTGATGCATTCCGTCAACTAAGATCGTGTGACATTCGGCAAGACCTACAATAGGTCCTGGTTGCTTCCCTATTCCGATATTGCTTTCACTAGTGCAGAAAATAAAATCAATAATTTAATTTTATCATTATTGTTAGATGATGGAAACTTTCTATGTGCTGTATACACAATTTTCTGTGAAAAACATTTTTTCTCCGTCTCAGTCAATCGGGTCAGAAGAATTGTCACACTTTTCTAAGCGTATGTATCAGCCACTCCAGCTTGTGTTATGGTATTACTTTTTGTGCAGCCCTGATTTT